CCTGCTGTAAGCAAATGACACCGGTAGCACTGGTGTCATTTTAGACTTACCGTATGTGTGTGTGTGTGTGTGTGTGTGTGTGTGTGTGTGTTTATATATAGACAGCATACTTACATTACTCATTTCTCATTTAAGTCATTTTATTAAAAAAACAATAAATAGCTTATAAGTTCAAAATTTCTTATCGACAATAAATCAAAAAATACTTGCACAAAGAAAGACTTCGTACATATTTCACTTGTTTATTGATGTTTAGTTTCAGTTTTTTGTATGGATTATTAATTACTCCGTATATAGGCATACGTTTTGTAAGAGTAAATGAGCACAAGATAAGAACTAGTTTGACAAATTCTCCCACAAAGACTTAAAAATTGCTTCTGTTTTAGAGACAACCAGACAATATGGCCGGGATAGCCGATTTTAGAATAGAGCTGGGAAGAAGGGGGAAAACACATCAATGGAGTAGATAAAAGTGACGAATTAAATCATCTCCTGCAAGTTTACTACAGAGGTTCAGTAACCTCTGGTTGCCTTTACCCCATTACTTCCACCATCTTTCCACTGTGTTCAGGCTGCCTAGCTTGCCACACAAACTGGGACAAAAAGGGACACCTATTGCCTGTATGGCTTTTGGGCTGAATTTATTGCAAATGACACGACCAAGGTGTAGAAGCTTTATACAGAGACAGTTCAAGTGGATGCAATCGTGATCTAATATATGCATTAGTGTGATTGTTTTTCTTTCAGTTTATTCCAATGCGTGGAGGAACTGTTCAATGCGAGCTTCTTCACCTCTCCTCACAATGGAACTGATACGGGTACTACGGGTATGCCACATGAAGAAAACACGAACGAGGCCCACGAGGACCCGGTGCGCATGGACCGTCCGCGAAGAAACGTCGGGCGACCCCGACGTTATTACGATTACATTTAATATTTTTAATTTATATTTCCATTGTAACGTAGATTTTCTTAGGTGAGCAAATTATAAGCTCCTTCGAGGGTTTCTTTTCGGTTCTTTACCTCGATGCTTTTATTGAACCGACAGGATAGATAACTTAGTAATTAGGGTTTGGGGATGCTTCCAGTATAAAAGCTACGGGATGTAAACAATAAACTCGAGCAGCAATAATACATCCTTCCCCCTAAATATCTCTCTCTAGAAAACCCTAACCAGCGGCTGGGTTGTCTGTGCGGCAAGGCACGTACGGCGGCCAAGCTCGTTGCGTGCAAACAGTACGTAACAACTGGTTCTCTCGTTCTACGATCTCTATGGCCTCCTCCGATCAGCCTCACACCTCTTTGACGTTAAATGATGTCATGCATGCTATCGAGGAATTGGGCAAGGACTTGCAAGCAACGAAATCCCGGGTTGCGGAGTTGGCAGACTCCCGACGAACCACGTTCGGGGAGAATCCGCGCTATTTTTCAGCCACTAATTCTGGGTGGCGACCTCCGGCATCCCGCACAACGCCACCAACGCTGGATCCAGCACCACGGATGCGTGTCGACGCTCCTCGTTTCTCCGGTGAGGACCCTACTGGCTGGATCTTCAGAGTTCAAAAATATTTTGATTATTTTCTCACCCCGGAACCGGAACGCTGGCATTTGGTGGCGATGCTCATCGACCATCCGGCATCGGAGTGGTTCCACTATTTTCAAGCCAATAATCCAATGGCAACTTGGCCAGAATTCCTGGATGCCGTACAGCAAAGGTTTGATCCTACATAATATGAGAACTATGTTGGGCTTTTATCCAAATTAACCCAATCGTCGACGGTACTGGCTTATCAAACTGAGTTTGAGACCATCCTGAATAAGGTCTCCGGCGTTCCCGAATCAACTCTCATCGCCATGTATATTGTTGGGCTCAAGCAACTGATTCGGCGTGAAGTGAACCTTCGCAATCCCACTACGCTCCCGCTGACTTTTGCCTTGGCACGTGAGCTTTCCGCTTGTCATTTAGAGGCTGCCGGTTCTTACAGTAGGGAGCTTCGCCGTCCGTGGTCTGCACGGCCACCCACCACTCCTTCGGCAGGTCTGCTCCCCACTCCGGGACCATCAAGTCGGCCTTCTCCGGTGCCCCAAGCCAGTCACAACAGCGAGTCATCTCCCAAACTACCGGTGGTACGCCTCACGAATGCCGAAAAGACAGAACGTACAAAGAAGGGTCTGTGTTGGTATTGTGACGAGAAGTGGATTGCCGGGCACAACTGTAAACACCGATTTTTGCTCTTGATGGGGCCTGATGAAGAAGACGCCGAGCCACTGGAGCAGCTAGACACGCCCAATAGTGATGATCTTATAACAGCGGATATTTCAAGCATGCATGCCCTCGCCGGTAGCCCGAACCCACGTGCTCTTAAATTGGCCGGTACGGTGAATGGGTCGGCGGTTCAAGTGCTCTTAGACAGTGGGAGTACCCATAATTTCATCCATCCAGGAGTTGCAGAGCGCCTTCAACTGGTCCTTCATCCGGTTCCGTCATTCTGTGTGTATGTGGGCAACGGTGATTCTCTTCGGTGCGCCTATGCATGCCCCCAAACGGCCATCTCCCTGCAAGGTCATGCCTTCCTTATTGATTTAAATCTTCTTGAAATTCATGGCACCAACGTGGTTCTCGGTGTTCAGTGGCTGCAAACCCTAGGTAAAGTAGCCCACGACTATGCCCAAATGACTATGGAATTCATGTGGCAGGGCAATTCCATCACCTTACATGGCGACACTCCATCCCCCCGGCAGATTTCCTACGGACAGTTTTGCACCATGGTCGCTGCCTCCACTTCTTGGGCTCTTTATGAATTGGTGGTTTCACAGCCCGAGAAGGCGCCCCCTGGTGATGCGCACGTGGATGTTCCGGCCAATGTTCCATCATCACTTCGGGCCGTCATCCTTGATCATGCTGTGATTTTTGGCTTGCCCACTAGTCTACCCCCTGGCCGAGATTGGGACCACCGTATCCATCTGGTGGCGGGTACAAAGCCCATAAACGTCCGCCCTTATCGGTATCCTTATTTCCAGAAAACAGAAATCGAACGGCAGGTACGTGACATGTTGCAGCAGGGTATTATTCGGTTGAGTCATAGCCCGTTCTCCTCCCCGGTCCTCCTCGTCCGTAAAAAAGACGGCACTTACCGTTTTTGTGTCGACTATCGGGCATTGAATGCGGCTACAATACCGGACCACTTCCCTATTCCAACGTCCGATGAGCTGTTTGATGAGTTGGGCCACGCACGTATCTTTACAAAGTTGGACCTCTGCTCGGGCTACCATCAAATCCGGATGCATGAGACGGATGTATTTAAGACAGCTTTTCGGACGCACGAAGGACACTATGAATTTTTGGTCATGCCGTTTGGACTCACAAATGCTCCATCAACCTTCCAGTCGGCCATGAACACTCTTTTTCGTGCACACCTACGTCGGTTTGTTATTGTTTTTTTTGATGACATACTGGTCTATAGCCCGTCGTTGGAGACACATGAGACGCACCTTCGTCAAGTTTTAGCTACTCCGCGGGATCAAGGGTTTTATGTGAAGCTGAGCAAATGTGCCTTCGGTAAATCAACTATTGAATATTTGGGTCATGTGTTGCAAGCCGGCGAACTCCGTGCAGACCCAAGCAAAATTGAGGCGATGGTGTCTTGGCCGGTTCCCCGGAATGTGAAGCAATTGCGTGGATTCCTTGGCTTGACCGGGTACTACCGACGATTCATTGCTGGCTATGCAGTCCTTGCAGCTCCCTTAACCAATTTATTAAAAAAGGATGCTTTCCAGTGGGATGCTACTGCCCAAGACAGTTTTGAGCACCTCAAACGTGCCATGACGTCTGCCCCGGTACTACGGCTGCCCGACTTCTCCCAGATTTTCTATGTTGAAACCGATGCATCAGACTATGGCGTCGGCGCTGTTTTAATGCAACAAGGCCATTCCCTTGCCTTCTTCAGTAAGAAATTGGGACCTCGGCGCCGGGCGGCATCCACATATCATAAAGAACTCTATGCTATCGTCGAGGCCGTGCAAAAATGGCGTCAGTACCTACTCGGTCGCGAGTTTGTCATCCGTTGTGATCAACGCAGCCTCAAGGATCTCTTGCTACAGGTCATCCAAACACCCGATCAACAATTCTACATCCGGAAGCTAATGGGATTCAAATTCCGGATTGAGTACAAGACCGGGACATCCAATCGAGCGGCGGATGCTTTGTCACGGCGTGATGAGGATGACGCAACCGTGCTATTTGTTGCCACTGCCCAGCCACTTCCCCTTCTTCTTGATTCCCTCCGGGCAGAGAACGGTGCACTCCCCGATTTGCAGCGGCTTCATGCAGAGTGCGAGGCAGGAAGAGCTCCATCACATATCTCGGTGCAGAAGGGGCTACTTTATTATAAGCGGCGGCTCTATGTTAGTCCGGGGTCCCCTTTGCGAGATCGGATACTGACCGAGTTTCATAGCACTCCGCTTGCGAGTCACCAGGGAGTAGAGCGGACATTTCGACGAATTGCGGCAGTGTTTTATTGGCCAGGTTTACGGCGCGAAGTTCGTCGGTTTGTAGCGTCATGTGAGGTGTGTCAGGTGACAAAGTACTTGACGCAGAAGCCGGCGGGTCTACTTCAACCGTTGCCTATTCCAGACCGCGTGTGGGATTCGGCTTCGATGGACTTTATTACTGGGTTACCCACTTCGCAAGGCTTCACTGTTATTATGGTGGTGGTGGATAGATTAAGCAAGTATGCTCATTTTGGTCCTTTTCCGACCGGATTCGATGCCCCGCGGGCTGCCCGTCTCTTCGTCGATATTGTAGTAAAGCATCATGGGTTCCCTCTCACAATCATCTCGGATCGCGATTCAGTATTTATGAGCCTCTTTTGGCGGGAGTCCATGCGTTTGAGTGGCACCACACTAAAGTTTTCAACAGCTTACCACCCTCAAACGGATGGCCAAACGGAGGTGGTGAATCGCGGGCTAGAGCAATAGCTCCGGGCATTTACATATGAGCGGCCGTCCAAGTGGGTTCTCTTCCTTCCCTGGGCTGAGTTGGCCTTAAATTGCAGCCATCACGAAGGAATTGGAACCTCCCCCTTCCGGGCTCTATATGGTCGTGAGCCACCGTCGATTTTTTCCACCTTGTCCTTGCGGGCACGCACACCGGAGGTGGAGGCCGTCTTGCGTGAACGTGCTGAATTGTTGAATGATTTGAAGGGCCACTTAACGAAAATGCAGAATCGTATGCGAGCCCAAGCTAATAAGCACCGTAGGGACGTTTCCTTCGACGTGGGCGACTGGGTATTATTGAAACTACAACCCTACCGCCAGTATTCCGCTGCCCGCCCCCTTTCGGCCAAGTTAGGACGCCGCTATTATGGTCCTTTTGAAATTTTGGAGCGGGTAGGCTCGGTGGCTTATCGATTGCGTTTACCGGAGGGATGCCGTATACACGATGTATTTCATGTTTCACTTCTCCGCCCTTTCATTCGCCGGCCTGACAGTGACCCGAACCCCACTTTGCCGGACAGTTTCTTTAAAGGACGCCCCATATCGGTGCCCGTTTCTGCTCTTCAACAGCGTATGGTTTTGGTGGATGGTAAACCTCAGCAACAATGGCTGATTCGGTGGTCCGACGACGCAGACGGAGGCTTCACCTGGGAACCGGTAGAGGATCTGTTGCAACACTTCCCCGATCTCCGCCTTGAGGACAAGGCTGATTCTAACCCGGGGGGAGTTGATACGGGTACTACGGGTATGCCACATGAAGAAAACACGAACGAGGCCCACGAGGACCCGGTGCGCATGGACCGTCCGTGAAGAAACGTCGGGCAACCCCGACGTTATTACGATTACATTTAATATTTTTAATTTATATTTCCATTGTAACGTAGATTTTCTTAGGTGAGCAAATTATAAGCTCCTTCGAGGGTTTCTTTTCGGTTCTTTACCTCGATGCTTTTATTGAACCGACAGGATAGATAACTTAGTAATTAGGGTTTGGGGATGCTTCCAGTATAAAAGCTACGGGATGTAAACAATAAACTCGAGCAGCAATAATACATCCTTCCCCCTAAATATCTCTCTCTCTAGAAAACCCTAACCAGCGGCTGGGTTGTCTGTGCGGCAAGGCTCGTACGGCGGCCAAGCTCGTTGCGTGCAAACAGTACGTAACAGGAACCCGCAGACCATTCAAAGACTGGTAACCAGGACACAGCAACTGACACTGTTAAGAACTGGACAATTTAATACTATAGCCTCTTAGATCTTGAGCTCAAGAATGGGGAAGTGGAAACAAACCTTAGCAGCAATGCAGTAGTGTTTTCCCTCTCACTCTTACTCAAATTGCCTTTCTCTACTAGTGTCTTTGGTGGCGAACAAATTGATGATTCCAACATATTAAAGTTCATCCCAACCACCAAAAGTAGGTGCATCTTCATCAAACCCACCAACAGAGACATCAGCTTTCTGCGTCCACAATCGATGACCCATTTTTCTCTTTCTAGTGTTCGGGTTTCGCCTTCTTCCACCCATGTTACTGTTTATTGGAGTACGGCTTCGGGGTCTTTCCTTGCTCTTGAGCCCTAGGTTGGTTTGTGTCACTCCCCACAATTTTTGGAGGGCAAAGATTAACACTGATTGCCCAACTAGAAGAGCCAAGGTTATAACAAAAGCTATAAGACCATTTGCTAGCAGTAATGACAAAATGATTGGAGGAAGAGCCCAAAAATATGGCTTGAAAACCTGCACTGCCAATAAGTAGAAATCAATTTTATAGCCGGCTATAAGAGATTGATTGTAGAAGAAGAAATCTAAGCCACCACAAATAAGAATCCATTAGTGTAAAGACGATAACGTCAAATTCCATTACAAATGCATCCATATAATAATCCTGCAACAATAAAACTCCCTCGATCCCCCTATGGTTCAGACAAGGTAAAGTGGCACGCAAGTTAAGAAAAGTGTGAAGTGTGGACTGTTTTGACCCACACAAATGTTGCCAAATATAGTATGGGAATATGGGATAAACTATTTTAGACAAACCAAATGGACAAATCGGACAAACATAGTTGAACGGATGGAATGATATAAAACTAGGAGTAGAAATTCACTATTAACGTAAACATTCTCCTTGCAGATGCAACTTGATAATCCAAAACCCAAAACATAAAGCTTGTGCATGTGTAACATAAGTAAGATGGGGAACTGAGTTTTGGTGGGTGAAATATGGGCATGTCATAAAAGTGAAGTATATTAAGTGGAAATTTTTGTTGGCAGTGGATATAACGTGAGCCAGCAAACGACGACCACATGCTCCCCAATTTATGTTCGAGTCTATCAGTCTATGGCACTCAAACTGAACTTCTTCAAATGCAACCAAAAGCAAAACAAAAATCTCATAAAAGTTGATGAAGCTCAAGCCCTATATAGATCAACCTAAATGTATAATCTTTACTAGAATAATTATGCACCATCTATATCTCCTACTACTATCAAATAGTCGTATTCAAACATATGAACTCAAACAACTGAAAAGCTTCAATGGAAACGGAGTAATATAAGTCATTGATGGATAAAGAAAGAATCGGACCTTCAAAACCCAAATACTGTCGATAAACTCATCGAGTATGTCCAAGAAACAGTCTTCTCCTTCGTATTCTTCTTCTTCATTAAAGCTGAAATTCCGGGTTCTGAAAGTTTCAGTATTGGAGTTCCATCGTTCACATCGGCTGAGACGGAGAGGACGCAGGAGAAGGCGTTTCGACACTGCAGAGCAGCGGAGATGCTGAGGAAGGTTGAGAAAAGGAGAGGGAAGAATTGGGAATTGGTAAAATTTTCGAGTTGGGAAGAAAGGGAGACCGCCACCTCCTACATGAGCGGCGAGAGTTGTCTGCATTTGGAAATGCCTCTAAAACATCCATTTCCCACCACTCTAACATTTTCTTATCTACTCTCTATTCCCCTTTCTCACCATTCATTTATTACTCTCTCCCTCCCTAAATCATTTACACATTTTATTATTCAAAATTTATTCAAAATTTGAAAAAATAAAATATTTTTGACGCATTTTTTTTTGTAGAACTTTCAATGTATTTTTTTAATATGTAAATTTTATTTTTTATTTATATATCATTCTTTAAATAAAATAAATTGAAAAAATTCGTGATTTTACTTCGTTTTGCATAAAGTATAAATGATTTTGGGACGGAGGGGGTAATTCATTAATTGATGCTTCCTACTTTCTCCTTAAATATCTCCATCCCAGTTCTACGCAGCCCACTTGCCCCTCGAGGGTCATGTTGTCCTTAACTTATTTTTTACTTATTACTTATTCATATTGAAACCAGATTAGAAATAGATTTAAATATAACTACATTCAGACCAGACCATATCAAATTAGAAATTATTCCAATCAGATCAAAATCAATCCGATCAGAAGAAGAAGAGAACATGGCCCAAATGTAGAGGTTTAGGGTGCTTGAAATGATAACTTTAAGATCCAACTTTAAAACTATAAGATAGGTGATAAGTCTCTTTCATTCTTATCTTTTACTTCATATTTTAAATGTTGTTGCACGCAAATAGTTTTTAATCATCTCAAAAATATGTTTTCCATGAATAAAACTCTATTTTTGTTCTAAGAGTCATAAAAAGGAATTTTAGAATAAATTAGTTCAATTCATCCATTTTATGTTCAAATACTTGAGAAAAAGAGAAACGGGCATCAAAGCTTCAAAATTGGAGCTAGAACAGACTTCTTGAAGGTCAAAATAAGCATTCGCGACGCAAAAGGATGAAACTAGACCAAAACATGAGTTGAAACCCACGCAGGAGCCCAAGCCTGGAGTTGGGGCATCCAAGTTGAACGCTCGAGCTTTCTTGCAGGCGACAAAACATGGACTTCTTGTAGTATTGGTTATGGTAGTGTTTCATTTTTAGTCAGCTTCCTAATCCTATTTGTGGTAGATGTTGTATGTTACTTAGTTTCCATTCTGTATTTCTAGTTGTGTTAGGAGTCTCTCATATATATACTCTATCATCTACTCCATAATTCAATGAGCAATAATATTATTTCTAATATTTCAACATGGTATCAGAGTCACCGCTCTTGGTGACCTAAAAAAAGTTCTTTGCTCCTGCCGCCGCCGCCGGTAATTCCGTCGACGGCGCCTTCGCCCTATTCACCTCTATTTTCTTTTCCTTCTTTATCCTCAAATCAACTTCTCCATTCAAATGAAAAAAAAGAAAAAAAAAACCCCTGTTGAAATTACACAAAAAAACTCATTAAAGGAAGAACTTCTCTCTTGTCATCTCCATGGTTCTTCAAAAAAAACTCAATTCCTCACAAACTCTCTCAACTCATCATATCTTCTCAAAAAACGAAAAAAAAAAGATTGTTGTTTCTCTCCAATTCACCATACCAAAATCTCATACTCAAATCTTTTTTCCATTGCCAATTCTTAACCCACTTTTTTCTCTCTCAAATCACTCATTCTAATCATCAATCTCCCTTCTTTTTCTCTACAACTCATCCCTTCAAGAAAGAAATGGGGCATTGCCCGGATCCAAGAAAAAGACAAAGAATGTCAAGGATCTTCAATTAAACAAGCACCTCCAATAGCCTTCTCTATTCTTCTTCGACGTCAGCAGCTACAAGCGCACGTCAGACTTCTCTCTTCTCAAACGATGTCAGTAGCCACTGGCGCACGTCAAACTTCTTTATTCTCCAACAATGTCTGCAGCCACCAGCGCACGTCAGACTTCTCTCTTCTCCAACGACGTCAGCAGCCACCGGCGCACGTCAGATTTATCTCTTCTAAAAGTTTCCAGTTTCCAGCTAGTGTCCAAGCTTCCTCTTGCTTCAGCCAGAGTTCAGCTTGAGGGGGGATGTTAGACAATAATACTAATAGTACTTCTTGTAGTATTAGTTATGGTAATGTTTCATTATTAGTCAGCTTCTTAATCCTATTTGTGGTAGATGTTGTGTTTTAGTTAGACTCCATTCTTTATTCCTAGTTGAGTTAGGAGTCTCTCCTATATATATACCCTATCATGTACTTCACAATTCAAAGAGCAATATTATTATTCTAATATTTCAACACACTAGCAAATTTTCAGTGGATCTGATGGTGGGGCGTCCAAACTTGGACGCCCGGACATGGATACCCTTGCTCCATCATATCTCCTATAAAAAGAGCTCGCCTCCTCCCCATTTCAAATAATTTTCACTCCATTCTTCTCCTCTTGTTCTCTAGTTTCGAGTTTCTTAGTAGTTGTAATAGTTTTAGTATAATTTTTAGAGTTTCTCGGAGCAATTTGTAGTCTGGATCTCTTAGTAGTTTTAATAGTTTTAACATGTTTTTGTTGGAGAACTATTTAAATGTGCCCAGAAGTAAAACCCAATCATAAACGATTAAAGACCACTTGGTAGGTTTGGACGAAAAAAACAATGTCGATAATCGAAAGCCGAACGCCAGTTTCTGAAAGCCGAACGTTGGGGTTTTTGGTTTGAGCGAACGCCAAGTGTTTTTGGTTTATAAAACATTTATGAAAATCATTTTAATGATGCATGAAAATGTTTTAATGGTTTTAAGCTGATATACACATATTTTATACACTTTTTAGACATATTTTGAAGGAGTTTTGAGTCCCAATTGAATTTAATATTTATATTTTGTTCCAATTTTCCGTTTTATTTTGGTAGAGCAGTCCTATGCTTGGTTTTATATGTTTTGCAGGCATTTTGAGGTCATTTGGATGCATTTAGGATAATTGCAAGGACGGAAAATAAACATGGAAGTTTGGGACCAAAATAAATGGAAGAAACTTGAAGGAATGAAGGAATCAAACAAAAATTAAAGCATAAAACAGCCATGGGATTCGAACTCTGGACGTGCGGCATGTGGAACCGGAGCTTTGACCATCGCGCTGAACCTGATTATTCGGCATATCACTGGCGAACAGGGTTAATGTTCTTAACTGAAAGTCGGCCATTGATCCAGAGAGAAAAATGACAAAACAGTGAACGGTGGGAAGCTTCAAACACGGGTGACACGGCAAGACAACCAGCTGCATTTCCATGTGCGCTACTGTAGCTGTATTGACTGGAATTGTAACTGTTCGTATATACTCCATATATACGAATTTATCT